TGCGGAGGGTGTCTGTGGGAAGGTGGTTCGAAGGACCGTTCAGCTCGGTTGCTCTACCGCTTGAAGCCGAGCAAGTGCATCAGGGTCGCCCCTCTGCCCTGCAGGTGGTGGGGCAGTTCCAGCCGGGGGCGCTGGGCACTATGCTGGTGGTTGAGTTGAAAACGGAAAAGGGGGCGGAGAAGAAATATATAATAAAGCAGGTGAGAAGGTGGTTGCCAGGAAAACAAGAGTCCGTTGGCACGTTTGTCATCTCCGTGGGCCCTTCTGATAGTAACAGAGACAAACATGTTAGGCAGCTTGGCCGCTGGGTAAGAGCAGGCTTACACCTTGCTGTGCTGCTGTTTTGGAAATCGGAGTATTCAGATCAGTTTACTAGAATATTGAGGTTAAAAGCGGGGAAATGGGAGCAGCCTATTTAGGTCCATCCAGTGTGTTTTCACCTTAGCTTACTGCTACTTTGGCAGTGCAGAAGAAGGACTGGCTAGCTGTCGCAGGCTTGTTTAAAGCTCTGTTTCTGGCCGTCTCCCAACAAGAAGACTGCTCCAAACGCTAGAGATTGGAGCTATCATTGAAAATTTATGCCAATTCATACACAATTTGCATTTCCAGTCCTCTCAGCAAGATTGTTCTGGCTTAAAGTTCGCCTGTCTCTATTACAATCTCGTCTTTTGTTTGGTGCAGGTTGAATGCATTGAAGAAAAGCAAGCAAATGAGGCCTTGAAGGAGGTATCAGTGCAGTTTTTCTTTACTACCTCACTTAGAAAGACCAAAGTCTTAGCAAAGTCTTTTCTCTACAAGGATTAACTAAGTAAATAGTCAAGATGTAAATCAGGTAGGACTATCTGAGGGGTGTTCTCCCTGCCCTCTGCTTGAGCTCAGGCCAGGATTTTGTATTAATTGTTCCTACGTTTGACTATGTGGATTGAAATGGACAGCTGTTCTCGGAGGATAGTCCTTTTTCAGGGTTCATATTTGTTTTGTGCTGAAGACAAAGAGCAAAGCTCATCCTTTTGGCCTTTAAGCTGAAGAAGAACCTTGATCTGTTTACAGTTTGTTATTAAGAACTCAATTTCTAGTTAACATATTTCATTATATGTTCATTTCTCAGAGTTGGTAACTTTTTGATGTGAATGATTTGACTGTTTTTCTTCCTTTGTTGTACTTTTTTTGTGAAAACTTGTTTCAATGCCTCGAGTAAGAAGCAACATCAGAAATACTGTTAAAATACCAAAATTTGTTTCAACAAAATACGTGAAGTAGCACATAGTGGATTAGTCTCACGGTGTCCAGCATGCATGACATCTGCAGTTGAAAATGAGTGAGAATACATGTCTGTACAGATGCTTCATCCTACTCAAGAGAGATGACCTCTTTACGTACCGAGACTGGCTTTACTGCTAAAGTTTGATCCAATTTTTCTTGTGATGTACGTGTCTGTTGAAATACACGCAGTTGTGCCAGTGGGGAGCATGGCTCTTCTTAGTTTTTCTGTTGTGTTTGCACAGCCACAAACACAACTACAGGAGAGTAAGTTGAATTCTTTATACCTTTCACATCATCAGCAAATTTGCTGAAGTAATTGGTAGTTGTTAGGGCCTTAGACGGAAACCAGCTTCAAGGAGATAAGCATCTCACTAGCGTCATATTTTCTGAGGTTCAAGCTTGCACGGGGGTTACTGGAAATAACGGCTACACTAGTAAAATCATCCTGACTTTCATATTCTAAGATGTGTTTTCAGGTTTGGATGTTAGGAACTGAAGAGGGGGGTTGATTACATATCATCTCCCTAAGATCAGTATATATCCTTGAATCTTACAAGGCTGTTACAGCATTACACTGAGGAGAGTCTGAAATATTTTCCTTAACTTGACACTTGTGCATGCAAATATATACAGAGCTTGCACATTGAAAGAATTCGATCAGACATGTGGCATGAACAAGTCAGGATATTCTTTAAGGTCCTGTTAAGTGGGAAGGACTTTGTAGCTATAGAAAGTGCTCTCTATTTTTTTTTATTCTATGCAGGCAATGGATTTACTAAAACTTCATCATTCAAACATCTGTGCTTACAAGGAATTGTTTGTGACTTGGGATAATGAGGTGAGAATGAAATAGGATTGGTTAAACTGAAACACGTGGTTAATGTTATAGGCATGTAAGCATTTTTGGAGGTTTAAATTTGGGGTCATTGGTGTGAGATGCTAAAAAAAAGGTTATTTGATTTGAAACAAGCCTGCTTTTTTAACTCCTGAATAAACATGCTGAAAAGCTGTGAAGATATATGGATTGGAGTCCATCACATGGCAGTATTGCACGCTGACTCACAGATTCGGATGTGAATCAGTGTGCAATACTGATTTTCATGCCTGCATGAAAACCCTTTTATAGGAGACTATAGGAAGCTGAAAGCCCTGACTTATTTATTTGCAGATTTTATTCAGTGCTCTGGCAAAATTTGTGTGGATTTTATGGATGTGTATTTGACCTGAATTGTCCCATATGGCTTCAGATAAGATGCTTGATAATGTTTTTTTAAGAAAACAACAGACATGCTGTATTTTTAATAAAAGAACGTAAATATTGTCTCCTCTGTGAGCGATTAATCATCTCAGAACACCTTGGTATTGGTGAACATCACACCCACCAGTTTGGCCAAGTGCTCTGTTTTATCTTTCTTACTGGATATGTTATTACCTGCAAACAATTAGACAATTTTGGTGTAATGTTTTATTACAGATATCATCTCTGTTCCTTTGTCTGGTAATGCAGCACTCGGGCCAAGGAGATCTTTCATCTGTAATCAAGGAAAAAAGGCAGAAATCGGAGAAAATAACAGACACGGTAAAAAGTACAGAAGAGGCATCTGGTTGAACTGACAGAGTCTCACTGCTTATATATTTCTTCCTCTGTATTCCCTCTTTCTCAGAGT